TCAATTGTATCTTTGCTATTTTTATTCATCTACTAGTAAAATACAAGTGTTTGTGTGTTTTTCTCTTAGTTTTCTAGCTGTTTTCCTCTGATTTGGAGCTGATTTCTACTGTAAACAGCAGAACTCCTGCTGGTTGCTCCTCCATTTGGCTTATAACATCTGGTAGTGGATGGCTCCCAAGAAGGTCATCACAACAGTCTGGCCAACTAAGCCAACGTCTCCCAGCTCCAACAACAGCATGACCTACCAAAGCAGGACCATCTATATGGACACCCAAAATCATAGCAACGTCCTGCAAGGTAATGGTCATCTCGCCAACGGTTAGGTGAAAACTATTAGTCTGAGGTGACCACCTCTCCACTAAGGCTGTCAACAAATGGTGGTCCATCCGTAAATATCTCATTTGGCTAACACAATCTAGCCCAACCATTCTTAAAGCATCCATAAATCTTGGGCAATTCATCGGCCACTCATGCACCATTAAAAGATGTGATGCAGCTTCCAATATTGTTCCCTACAAAGACATATAATTAGCAAGAGTTAACTTTAACATTTAGTATAATCATAATAAGTTCAATAAATTTTGGATGTACCCCATCAGGATGTGCTGCTCTATGTGTGCCATGTAACGAAGCAATGCTTGGATGGAGCTGAGTTGGAGGTGGAGCATCACTACAACCCTCTCCTGAGGGCTCACCGGTCGTCCGCTTCTTTCTACGATGTCGTTGGTCAGTTGCCATTTCACCTGAAAATAAAACAATAATTAAGAATATATATTAAAAATAAACACAACTATAAAGTGAACAATATAAAAAAAACAAATTTTAGACAAATAAAATTTGTAATACAAGCATTTCAAATGTAAGGCCATTGAATTTAAAAATATATAATACACAAATCCATTGAAAGTATTGGTTGGATCATGGTAGCCTCGCTTGAGATGAAAAAATTTTCTCGATCACACAATTTTAAAAGATTATGTAGTGCCTTTATATTTTTCAGCAATAAAATATAAAGGCGAAAAAAATTTTATCTTTCAAAACATATTTGATTTTGTATCTTATAAAATTTTTATCTTACAAAAATAGTTTTTTCAGAATTTATTAGCCAATCTTATTTATTAGTCAATCTCTAGTAACAAAACGGTGATAGTGATTTAAAGGCGAAAAATTATTTCAACATAACTTCACATATTTATATCTTACAAAAACAAATAGAATAATATAGTGAAAGTGCTTCAAAGGCAGAAAAGTCTTATAAATATTGGTAATTATAAGTTGATTTACGATACATGCAAAACAAGTTCCTGCGATATAACATCTGCACGCAAAGGTCATAATGTCACACTAGAAGTTCTGGATATTTTACTTAAATACATGCGCTATTGCAATAATTGTCAAATCAAATACTAGTTCCTGCGACCAAATCTAGTTGGGCAAGTGGCTTTGTTATGTCCGGCTAAGTGGCAAGCTCTGCAAACCCTATTGCTCCGTGGTGGTGCTTCGTCCATTGTATTGCGATACTGATTTGTTCTTGGACATCCAGATCGTCTCCGATAATTTGGGGGGAGAAGCGGGATCATTCCAGTATTGGGGTTATGCTCTCCCCATTCTTCCTTGTTGGGGATATGGTGAAATTCTGCTGAATAGGTTAATTTGTAGGTGGTCATGGTGTAGTAGAGAGATACATAATCAAAATGTGTTCATCTTAACATTGCTAAACAACAAACCACATGCGAACAAGGTAAGTGATATAGCAAAGGTTTCCCACAACTGCACTTGCAACTCCTCCCGTCTACTATGTCGACACGATATGATCTAGAGGACATGTCAACAACTTGAAATTCATGCAAGTTGAGACGGATTGGTTCTGGCATGCGTCTAGCCTCCTCCTCGATTCTTTTTAGTGATGTCTGTATACGTGGAGCAAAAAAACTATTGTTTTCTTGCTCTTCAGTTGCAATGAATTCCAACCGCTTCATAAACATTGAAATAATGTTATAGTAGACAGCCATAATCAAGGCTTGTATTGGCAATCCTCGTGATCGCTTCAAAACTCCATTAAAAGACTCAGCTGCATTAGTTGTCATTACGCCATATCTAAATCCACCATCATTTGATAAAGACCAACGACTCACATCACGGTCCACGAGCCATTGGTGGATGTCTACTTTGATCCTCTTTATATCTTTCATACATCTATTAAAAAACCCTTTATCATCTGTATTG